TTAAAATGTGTGATAACTCTAGGCTTTTTTGATCTTTTACAGAAATGATAGGAAACTCTTCTGTCCATAGAGAATGCCACTATCGAGATTGGCAATCACTCTCACTTTCTCTTTTGCTTTTAGTCTTCATGTTCATTTCTTCCTTGTCTTTCCTTATGTACTGAAAGAACATTTTCTGGAACAGTGGGATCAAGAAGCTTTGTTTCCATCCTTAATGAAGTTGTGTTGTCTGGTTTCTCAGGAAATCAATGGAGGCTTTATAAATTTTGTTTTTTAATTTCAGATTTATAAAATCTGCTCCCTTTACTGTCTGACTTAAAGATGTAGGTAAGAGGCTATCACTCTTTGAGAAAATGTGTTACAAATCAGGGTTAATATTTCTCTTTTCATAAATTCCTCAGAGGAGATGGGGGCAAAGATTGGAATTATAAAGTTCTAGTCATTTTGTGTACTTAAGGATTATTTGAAGATAACAGTTGTTTAAATATTAGAAGTGGACTTTGTCCTTTGCTATTTTACTGATGAAACTGGAGATAATTTAGCAAGTAATATTAAAGTAATAGTAAATATAAGACAACAATATCTTTCCAACACAGCTGATGCCTTGAAAAATTCTCTCCTTGAACTTTGCTACTCATGAATCAATGAGCATTTGGTACATACCAGGCGTTGTGCTGCATGTTTTATATACATAGTGTCGAACAATCCTTAAAATGGTATCTTTTAGGAATTGCATGTGTGTTATTATCTCATTTCATAGGTGAAACTCAGGGAAAGTAAATAACTTGTCTAAGTTTATTACTTTCTAACTAATAAGTAACAAAGCCCTGATTCTAGTCCAGATTTTTTTTTTTTTTGACTCTGAAGTTCACACTGTTAATACTAAAAGGAATTGCCTTCTGTTTCCAACCACTTTCATTCCTCTTTTTATAAAAACCAATGGTGACCTATATTCTTTGGAAGGGAATTTGATGTCAGTTGGTCATAATATAACCAGAAAAATTTAGTGATTAGGAAAATTTTTAGGACATTAATTGATTATGTTGGTATCATCAAAAGTTTGATTTCATCACAGCTTAGCTAAGGAAAAAGGTGTCTTGAAAGAAAAGTTATTGAGATAGCATTTCTAAAATCACAATTATTTTGTGTTTCCTCAGTGGTTTTTCATGGAAAATATTCTGGATAGTAAAAGAATACTATTTTTAGATTTTCTCACTTCATGTGATAATTCTTTTTAGGAGCACAGGAAGTGAACATGATTAACATTTGAAAATTTGTTGTTCTCAAGTACAAGTAAAAGCCTGTACAACTTTAAATATTTACTATAGAATCATATTGGATCATAGTATTACTAAGGGGAAAAATCCCCTTGAACCAAAAATGTGTTAGGCAAACTATGCATGCTGACTCAGATGTTCTTATCTTTTGATAAATCTATACCAAAAAGAATAAAATATAATTTTATCACATGGATAAAATTGATATGAACCAAAGTGATCTCCAAACAGATTGAGTTTTATTATAGTATAAAAAATATGCCCTCAGGTAGCATCACCTAAGGGATAACTGAAGGCTTCAAGGTCCCCATATGTTTCTACATCTATTAAAATGCATAAAAGCCTTCCTTTATACTGTTAATCTATATTAGATTGTTGAGGAGAATTACTTCAAAACTTTAAATCTAATCAAGTAAGATTCTTCATTTATTTAGTTGTTATTTATTAAACACTTATATTAATGATTTAGATTTTTGAAAATTCAATAGTACTTTTTAAGAACTCGAGTCAGCTCATAATAAGAGACACAATACACAAAGATTTTTTTCCTGAAGGAAGTCGCATGTCTCAGTACTAGTGGCTTCTCTGAATAATGGGTGTGAGGTGGTCAAAGAGGAGTAGTCATGTAGAATACTTAATACTGACACAAAAGAACAGATCTAGAATCCACATTTTTTCTCTGGGGGTGGAAGATACTTTTTTGTACAGTCAGGAAGCCATTATGTCTACCAAAGCCTGCCTTATCTCGACAGTATGGGTAGAACACAGAGGCTGAGAAAAGTAGGAAATGCCTGGGCTGCTGAAATAGAGAGAAGCCATTCCTACTTAATAAGTAACTGACAGTAGAAAATTTATAAATTATATGTTGAAGGAACTGACACTTTTTATCAGTATCATTGGTGAAAATTCTACTTAAAGAATAACTTAAGTCTTAGCATTTACAAAGATAATGTTCTAAAATTGAAAATCAATCACAGACCCAGATGATTGCAATGAGCATGACAAACTATTATAAGTGGAGCTGGGTGCTATAGTGGAGATGAAGCATCAACCAGTCTGATGGAAATGTGAGGAAATAGAGAAATCTTTCTGGGGAAGCAACATCTGAGACAGATTTTGAGGTCTGAATAGAATTTACGTAGACAAAGAAGGAATGCATGTGTTTCAGACAAGTGGAATTTCCTGTGCCAAGTCAGAGAGGAATGAGAGAGCATGGTGCATTCAGATAAATGAAAGTTGCTCTGAAGGATGGGAGCATTTATTGAATGGAGGGGATTGGTGACGCACGAAGTCAGGGAGAAGACAAGGGTTGGATATGGAATGCTACATTAATGTGTTTGAATTATTTTCCTGAGAGTGACATGAGAGCTTATTAAAGAATTTTAAGTGAGGACATGACATAATTACATTTCTTGTTTTAGGAAAAGTATTCCAGAGTCAGAGTCATTGAGAAGAATGTATTGTACAAGGTATAGGCCAATGTAGGAAGAAATCTTTTGGGTGTCTTGCAAAAATTGAAGAGTGAGGTGATGAAAGCGTGAAGATAGGAAGGGTTAGGAGAGAAATGAATAGAATGGAGGAAAACTGTATACATGTTAAAATGCTACATGTAAAAATCAATTCATTAGGTACTGAGGATTAGGAAAAATGACTCTCAGAGGACTGGGTGGATGGATATTTAGTGGTGCTCACTGAAATATGCAATGAGGGAACAGGCTGTTGAGGTATAGGGAATGAGGGATTCAACTTGGAAGGTGTTGACTTGAATTGCTTGTGGCACATCTAGATGGAGATGCCCAGTAGCTATGGTGCTGTATTAGTGAGTGAGAGCTTCACTGAAAATATAGACTTGAGAGAGGCTTCATAGGTGTGAGTTAGGCAACTGAGAAGAATGAGAAGAAAATTAAACAGTCCTTAGCAAAAACTGAGGTAAAAGGGAGTGTGCTGGAAGAAGAAAAGTTGAGAAATTCACTGAAAAAAGACTACAAGGAAATTTGATTCCAGCTGACAGTAGGCTGTCTCTGTTTGCAGAATTCATATGTATTTTCTTTTTAATTTGCCAGTTTTAAACTGAAAGAACAAGAGCTGAAAGTCAATTGATAGGTCATGAGTCACCAATTATCTGAATGTTAGTATTATGTTAACAATCTGAGTATATCAGCCAGCAAGTTTTTCAGGACCAGCAGATGTTGCTGGGATTAAGAACATGAGGGTTTCCAGCTTCATCCACGCGGGGGGAGTGGGGAGGGATAGCATTAGGAGATATGCCTAATGTAAATGACCAGTTAATGGGTGCAGCACACCAACATGGCACATGTATACATATGTAACAAACCTGCATATTGTGCACATGTACCCTAGAACTTAAAGTGTATATATATATGTATATGTGTGTGTATATATATATACACATATATATATACACACACACACGCGCGTGCACACACACACACACACATAAAAATAGAACATGAGGGGAGATGAGCACAAGATGAAGGGCCCATAAAAATGCTTTTAAAAAATGAACAACAGGAATTGCTAATAATTTAAGGGACAAGAAAAAGGAATGGAAGGCTTGGGGACTGATGGCAGTGCAAAGACTTAATTTCCCTTTGCATTAGCTCAGCAAAAAGAATCTGGGTGGTCCATCACCACACTCTTCCCTCTTGGGAGCACACTACAGCCAAAGACATCTGGAATGGTTGTTTGAAAAAAATATGTGTGTGTGTGTGTGTGTGTGTGTGTGTGTGTGTATATATATATGGAGAAATCTTGACATATTATCCTAAGAAGCAAATTTAGGGTAATATGTGTAATGTCTTAAATCTTTTTGCAATGTTATTAAATTGATGTATTAACTAGTATAGTTTCCAAGTAATAGAAAGATGGAAATGTTTAAGATTGTGGCTAAAAAAACACATTAACAGCAATACATTATTCTAAATACTGAGGCTCAGTAAATTCTGAAAGCACATCTACAACTATAGAATAATAAAGAAATAATACAACAAGAGATAGGTGCAAATGCTAAATGCAGAAATCTCAAAGCAACATTATCCTCCAATTGTCCTAAATAATGTGGTTTATGAGCAAAGAGCCAGCACCTACATTCTAATCGCTGGCCATGAGTCAGCGATGACTGACTTTCTTCCTCTAACAGGACCATGACCTTGGTCTGGATTAGTGGGAAATTAACACACTCATCTTCTTGAAATTTTAAATACTTGAGCCTCAATCTACCAAATCAGGACATTCAGATTATTAAAAACCTTCAAGAGTTTTGAGAGTTCTTAGAAGATGTCTCAAACATGATGAAGAAAATATCTCCATCATCAGTTTGATTAGTTATCTTGTGATACTACTAATTTTCCAATTGTCTCCTGCCTAGACTGCCACTCCCACTAAATGTAAAATTGTCACTACATTTGTCAGACACTGCCAGGAACCTCCATAGCTTCTACAGAGTTCTGCAGTCTGACGCTGCAGGACATTGCCTACTCTTGCCAGTCTCATGCTCTGATGGGACACAGGAAGTGATCACTGGGCTATGTGATTTTCTTTTGTGAAAGAAGGAGGGATTGGCTTTCATTCCCTTGTGTTATATCCTGTTAGAGGTTACTAAAGCAGCATTCCTTGGGTACCAAAGTCCATTTATTCACGGAGCAAACATTTAAAGAATGTTTACTCAGTCCAGGCATAGCGCTTGGTGCTGGATATAAAATAGTTCGCAAAAGCACCCACGTTAGTAGAAGAGCCAGACTTTACTCAAATAAGTCCAATAATCATGCACACAAGACCACAATCATGGGAAGAATTCTAAAGGAAAGGAAGAGACTACTATGAGATTTGAAGGATTGGTAAGCACTAGCTAAGTAATGTATGGATGCACAGAGTGGGAACAAGGGGTCCATTATTACAGCAAAAGAAATCACCCAAAGATTCTGTGCCAATTGGAGTGTGAAGCTTCTCAGATCTGAAAAAATCGAGTGGGTAAATTGCAGAGAATGATGGAAAGAATGCTGCAATGTGATGCCTATAACGGCCAGAATATGCCTTGTTAAAGTCTGATGTCTTACTCAAGAGTAAAGTGTTATAAGCTGGGTGGTGAGAGGAGTAAGTATCCTTATCAAAGTAGTGAACTGCTATAGAGAGTTGATTAAAGACAGTTAAGATTTATGTGAAGACAGAGACGACGTTGCTGTTTTATATAGAGTCCCCTCCCATCCCCTTCGCTCACATTCTCATTAACACTGATTTAGAATCTTGGAATCTAGTCTGAGGAGGTGGCTGTGCTTGGAGATCAATCTAAGACACAGCTTGTTGCTGTCAAATTTGTTCCTCTCCTCTGATTCTGGCTTTCTAATTGGGTCCGCCTTTTTGTTCATGGCTCTGTAAGACGCACCTTGTTAAAATTAACTTTAGATAGGACTCTTCCAGCAATTTACCAAAGACGCCTAGCCCTTTTTGTACCCCAACCCGTTACATTTCAGCTGGGATCCCCACTCTATCAGGACACAGAAAGTGCATCTTCTTCAGTGCTCAAAATCTCAGTGTCCTTAAAATATCCTGCATTGATGTATTAGTCCCTCAATTCAGAGAAGATAGCTCCTCTGATCATATGACTTCATCATTTCATCTCATAAATTGGGATGAAATACCTTTCATTGAGTCTGTAACATCTAGATTAATGTACATGTTTTGTGGTTTCCATTATCATATCTGGTTAACAATACCAACTATAAAATTTAAAGGCAGAATAACATAGTGATTTCACTTCATGTTAAGACAGATATGGGCACAAATTCTAGGTTAGGTGCTTACAACTCTGAAATCTTAGGCAAGTTTCTTCAATCACTGATACTAAGTCTCTTCATTTGAAAAGTAGTGGTAGGCCAGGCATGGTGGCTCACGCCTATAGTCCTAGCACTTTGGGAGGTCAAGGTGGATGGATTACGAGGTCAAGAGATCAGACCATCCTGGCCAACATGGTGAAAACCCATCTCTACTAAAAATACAAAAATTAGCCGGGCGTGGTGGCAGGCGCCTATAATCCCAGCTACTTGGGAGGCTGAGGAAGGAAAATCGCTTGAACCTGGGAGGTGAAGGTTGCAGTGATCCAAGATTGTGCCACTGCACTCTAGCCTGGTGACATATTGAGACTCTGTATCAAAAAAAAAAAAAAAAAAAGAAAGAAAAAAGAAAGAAAGAAAGAAAAATAGTTGTATAGTAGTAGTACTATATAATTTAACAAAAGAATATGTAAAGTGTTTAGAAATGTACCTGAAATTTCAGGTTATGTTATGATTATTGCTGTGTCATTGTTATTAATCAAATTTAATGGTCAATAGTACAGTATGATAAAGATTAAATGTATTTCTATAAAATCTTACCTTTTTCTTTTCTTCATATTTAGTAAGAATTTATGCTTCTTTATATTAGCATTATCTTTTCTTAATAAGAGAATAGTAATCTCTTAATGAGATTATTTTTACAAGGCTTCATAAAAATGGAAAACTTAAGTTTTTCATTCTAGTCCAAAAGCATATGGGAAAAACAGTTTCAGAAGCTTTAAATATTAACAAGAGGAACACAGCATAATGATACAGGGAAGAAGCGAGAGCATGAATGCTCAGAATTGCTTTTAGTGGAAAAAAGCAGCCAGCATTTGTTGAGAGCTAAAGATTTTTTTTTTTAAATAGATATGAATTTAATTGGCAGGACTTGGCATCATTTACAGGAAAACATGTTTTATTTATTTCAGTTTAAATATATTTCAAACACTATTTTAAAATACAGTTCTGCCAAGTGATGGGACAGCTGTTAAGTGGTTCAGGATTTAATGCCCTAGTTAGCCTTTCACCTCTAAGGCCCTTGATCTACCTCTATGTAATTAAGCTCATACATTAAATTAGTTGTATGGGATAAGGGAGCCCCAAGTGGTATGGACATTAGATACTAGGAAGACATTTTGGATAATTGGCAGTTTCAGCTTGAAAACCACTTGGAGTGAGAATGAATGGGTGTTCAAGTTTACAAGGGCATCAGCAAAAATAAATACCAGTGATGAAATTGAACTCTTCCTTATGGTTTTTAATCAGGGCCAATCAGCAGTCAAATTATAAAGTAGATGAGAATGTCGTCATTGGAATTCCATCTCTATGAGTGTTTCCTCTCCCTCTTTTTTCTCAAATTATCGCAAAGTTGGAATTCCAACTCAAGCTGACTCTTAAGTAATATGTTGTACTTCAAATTACAAAATGTTTTATTTCAAAAGGAGATATCTGGAAAGAATAAAAAAATGAATTTCTCATATGAAGTTATCACCACTCTGTAAGTAGGGGAAAGTTTTGCATGTGTAGGAGGGCTTGAAATCATAGAATCAAAGTGACCTTGCCCAGGGTTCAAATGCCTTGGTGGGTTACATGTTTTGTGTTGTAACAATCTGACCCTTGGGTCCATCTCATAGTGATTACACTCTCATGGGTGTATTTTGGAGAGGATGAAAGGAGATATAAGGCTTGTAAAGTGTCTTGAATCATGTCTGACACAAAGCAAGCACCTCAGATTGTTGGTTTTGTGCTTACCTGACTCAACCCCTTCTTTGCTGAGTAACTCCTTTGCTCATTCTGCAAAACAGGCATTGCCTTTAGAATCACATGCAGAAATATCAGAGATGGCTGTTTCATTTCCATGGGGATATTATTATAGAATTTTATATCTGAAAGTGGCTTTAGTTTGCAGGTAAGAAAGCAAGTTGAGAGAGAAAGTGGATTCTCCAAGGTCACAAATGTGGCAGTAGCAGTAGTCACAACTCCCAATTCAGCATGCTTCCTTTCCCTGAGTAGCAAGCAGGTGCTCAGTGACAAATACTTGTCAGCGATTGATTAATTAAGAATAGTAACTTTTTCCATCTGGATGTCTGTGTGTTGGGGGTCGCTGGAGTCTGAATCGGGGAGGAAGAACCTCACTGAAGTAGTTTCAGCCTACTTGGTTCCTAACTTTAGAAAAAATACTCCTTTAGCCAATGTTCTCAAAAGGATAATTGCATTGTATTCATAACCAATTCAAACTCATTTAAACAGCGATTTATTTCCCATATAAGAAGCATGGTGAGCATTTCCACTCCATCTTGAAATAATATTTTCATTTTCAAGTCTAAACATAGTAACTAGGGTAAAGCCTATCTAAACTATGCCGCTAATAGCCCAGGCTGTTAAATTTGTCACTACAATAATTCTTTTTTCCTGAGAGAAAAATTATCACAGCGTAAGATGAAACAATCTTTTGTTAAGTAACCAAAGCCATTGCTTTTAGTTACATAATTTACAGAAAATAAAGAGGGCCATACAACATATCTTACCTTGTATCAGCAGATGACAGAGCCGCAAAGTATTACATGACCATTTCCGGTTAAAGGGATGGTAGGTGGTAGAGTTGGCAGCAATTACGTTAGGTGTGGGGGTCTATAACCAGGAGGCTCTGCAATTATTTCCAAGGGGATTGATATCCTTGTGAGGAAGAGGGCGTGAGGTGGTACATATTCTATTGTCAATCATAATGTAAAAGTAAAATAAAGGAAAGTAAAAGGCTTTCTTGGTATTATTTCCTGACTCATTTGCCCTCTAAATGTGAGTGTAACATCACAATGAAATCATCCTCATACATAATGCTTTGTTCCTAGTTTGTTAAACTTGTATCATTAAACAAAATTAAAATACAATTGTAGACGTTACCAGGAAGGAAGATAGTTTAGGAGGTCATCTAATTTGTCTCCTTAATTTATTGCTGGATCACATTTAAGTCACGCCAGGTGACTGAAACTTTCCTTAAAGTCAAATAGCTCTCATCTCTTGTGATAGTCTAGATCTGCTCATAGGGACATTTGACCAGTCAGCACATTGCTACGGGTGTCTGGATAAATATGAAGGAGGGTGTTCAAATGCAAATGTCGATCTGAGGGTCTAAGACTTCTTTAGTGTTTTACACACTTTTAGATTATTTCCAAAGTGACATTGCAGATGAGCATAATCTGTATGAGTTACGATTGTCCATCCCTATTTGGTATTTCCACATGACACTTTTTACACCATGAGTGGATATCAAATTCTATATAATACAAGAAAAAATCATTTTCTCATAGTTGTCCATATCAGCCTTAAATTCTTTGGTCTATTATAACATACTCTGTCACCCTTCCTCTCTGTAATAGACAAAGATGGGCTTTCCAGAGTCCCCTTCTGCCAAGAAGGATTTGCTGCCAAGTATAGGGAGTGCCATCATCAGGCAGTCTCCAACTCTCAAATCCTACAAAGCTGGCTCCAGCTGGAGAATCACCTCATCTGGAGTTTCATCCCTTACAGGGCAGCTCACATCCCTTGACTAAGCGAGGTAGAGGTATCACAATATCCAACCATTTCTACCTGATGTGGTCATGTGAGAAAACCCTGATGGGACAGTATTTACTTCAGAGCTGTCCACCAGGTTGCCCCATTTTTTTTTGTTCTGTCTGTATTTCAAATTAACTCCTTTCTCTGCTGAATCCCACACTGTCCCTCTTCCATTCACAGGTGCTGATACCCAATAAACAACTGGCACCCCAAACTTCATCTTAACATTTGCTCATAGAGAACTCCAACTTGTGACAGCACTCCCAGCCTACTTGTTCCACTATCCTTCCATCTTACATGCCTGATTAAATCCAACAATTTAAATACCTTTTACCTTCCCCCAAGCTGGTAAATGAGTCTGGAGAAAAACACACAACCATGCTGACTCACTCTAAATTCATGATCACCAATCTCAAAAGGGCAGACGACCCTGTCAACTGATCCTACTATGCTTCTGGGTGTGTACTCTGTGGAACTCTCTACATTTTCTATTTCTATTTCTCTCTTAGTTTTAAAACACCAATGCCCTTGTTACTTTGCTTCATAATTTGGTTGGAAAGATCTAGAAGGCCTCAACTTTACAGTTTGGTGAGAAGGAAAAAATACATCTGGCAATGCCTTTCTCCCTTTCCCCCATCAAATCTATAAAACTCTTCATCCGGACCAATGCTCTCTCCTTTCCCTTCAGTTAGAGAAATGTCCTCATAATCTAAGTCATTTTGCTCCAATCTCATTAAACCTTCTCAAGGACTTCATTTCCACAGTGTTCCTCTCTTTTCTGGTAACACCAGTTTTTCTCTATCTCCTGGTTCATTTACATCAGCATAACAATACACATAGTAGAGGCAGACTCGCATAATGAAGGGCAACTCATAATAGGGCTTAAAAGTATAAACGTGACAGTCAGCCTGCCTTGGTTTAAACACTGGCTCCAGCAGCCACCAGGTAAAGCACATTACCTGACCATTCTATACGTCTCCTCTCTAGTCTGTAAAATGGAAATCTTAGTAGTCCTTACCTCATAGGGATTTGTGAGGATTTGTAAATAAAAATCAGGGGATGTATTTATAATAGCCATTTGCACATAGTAACCACAAAACAAAGAGTTAGAATTAGTAGTGTTTATATCTCCCATCCCAAATAGCATGCAAATAAACTCAAAAAACCTTTTTAAACTCCTAGACCATTTATCTGTTCTCCTTTACATCAAAAATCATAGATAACTCATACTTTACTCCCTCATGTTCTGTTCTCTCCTCAATGAACCGTGAATGGGCTTCATTCTCCAGTCTCTTTCTGAGTCTTTGAAAAGTGGCCAATCCACATGGCTAAATCCAGTTGCCATTTTTTCTGCCATTTTACATGTTCTCTCAGCATGTTTTGATGTAGTGACTATGGCATTTTAATTCAAACACTGTTTTCTCCTATTTATATAATGTCACAACTACTGGTTTTTCTTCCAGCTCACTGATGGCACCTTCTCTGATTCCTTTGTGTGAACTCCTCTTGTTCTATTCAACCTCTAACTACTGCTTCTTTAGGTTAATGTTGGGTTCTTTCTTCTACTTTTCCCTGATGACACAATTTTCCCAGGTGATCTCATCTGCCCTTGTGGCTTTAACTAGCATTCTGTGGGCCGCTGACCTCCCAATTTAAGTTTCCTACCCTGGTCTCCTTATTTAATACAAACATGCATATTCCAGCACTTACATGTTATCTCCACTGGATGGGCAAAACAAACTCTTCATTTTCCTTTCCACTTAAGCTTGTTTCTCCTCCAGTGTGCTCTATTTTAGTGAGTGGCAATACTTACTCAATCCCCAAGCAAAACAAATCATATGTATCATTTCCTTTATATCATACCTACAACAAGTTCTGTGTTTTCAAAACATAGCCCCAAACAGTCTACTTCTCTGTATCTCTATCATGTCTATCCAAGACACTATCTTACTTGTCTAGAATCTTGGAAGAGCCTCCCAACTGGTCTTCTTTTTTTTTTTTTTTTTTTTTCCCCTTGCCTCATTAAAATCCATGACCACTTAAGCAGTCATAAAGACTTTTAATGCAAATTAAATTATGTCACTTCCCTGCTTAAAATGCTCCAATGATATTCCATACCAATAAAAATAACATTTAAACATCTCACTTTCCTTTCAAAGCTTCTTCCCTGCATTCCTTAGGCATATGTGATATTTTCATTTTTTTTTTTAATAAAAAATTTCATTCGTATGGCCCTTGTACTTGCTTTTCTCTCTGCCTGGAGCATCCACTCTTCAGAACCTCATATAACTGACTATTGTTCATCATTTAGTTCTTAACTTCAACATTACCTTTTTAATGAGGTTTTCTTTCCTTGGCCACCTATTCTGATGCTCCCCTTCCCCATTGTCATTATCAATTACATTATCCTTTGTATTTTAATTCTAGTGTTTATCTTCATCCGTGATAATTCTATTCATTTGTTGCTATGGTTTGAATATGATTTGTCTCCACCTCAACTCATGTTGAGGCTTGGTCCCCAATGCGGTGGTATTGGGAGGTGGTTTCTTTAAATGATGATTAAGTCATTAAGCTGGTTTAATGTCTGTCTCTGGAGAATGGGTAAGCACTAGAAAGAGAGAAGGTTATTCTAAAGCAGGTCAGCCTCCTTTGGCCCCAGTCTCTTATGTCTGTAGACACTTGCTGTTCCCCACATGCTTCTGCCATGTGATGCTATCTGCCAGGTCATGATACCACATGAGGCCCTCACCAGATGTGGCTGACAGATCTCAAGTTACCCAAATTCCAGAACTGTGAGCTAAATAAACCTCTTTTCTTGATAAATTCCTCAGTCTTGAGTATTCTGATAGAGCAATAGAAAACAAACTAAGACATTTCTTTTATCATTCGTTGTCTATTTTTACTCACTAGAATGCAAGTTTCATGCTAACAGGGTCCTTGTCTGTCCTGTATATCAGCTTATCTCTGGCACACAGTAAAGGATCAAAAGTTAGTTTTTAAATTAATAAACTCTAGTGCTTCCATTCCTTAGGCCTGATTCTCACTGCATCTAAATTCACCTCTCTTTGTATTTATGTCAGTGCTGCTTTCCTTCCTTCCGTTCCTCCCACTTTTCTCTTTTTTCCTCCCTCCCTTCCTCCCTTCCTTCCTTCCTTCCTTCCTCTCTCTTTTTTCTCCTTCTTTCTCTTTCCTTTCTCTCTTTCACTTTCTTTTTTCTCTTTCCCTCTTCTTCCTCCCTCCCTCTTCTTCCTTCCTCTCCTTCCTCCCTTCCTTCCTCCCTCCCTTCCTTCCTTCCTTCCTTCCTTCCTTCCTTCCTTCCTTCCTTCCTTCCCTCCCAACTTCCCTCCTTCCCTCCTTTATTTTCTTTCTGACTTTTCCTCTGATACCTCCCCCTCCCAGGGTACAATCTTCATACTCTATTTGCACTCCAGTTCATAGGCTTTTCCTAGTAGAACGTTTTTGTAGGCAGCGCACCACCAATTTTGCTCTTTCTCAGAGACCCAGAGCTGGGCACTAACTCCAGTGGCTTGAGGTAATGGCTTTTATTTTGTGCATCCACAGAGCATTACAATGTCAAGAAGACATCTCTTCTGGTTGGGAAAAGAGCTAGTTAATGAGGGGTGATGCTCTCTTCCTACTAGCTTTTAACTGAAACAATGTTTATATTTTGAGAACTTGACATATTCACGTGGTTAAAAAAGGAACTCATATATGTTGGTCATTTGCTTAGAAAACTATTGTTTAGGTACATTCCTTTCAAAGTTCTTGTGCCTAAAATTTTTGCAGTGGATCCTAAAATGGCATAATCCATTCTGAAACAGCTTATTTCTGAGTGATAACTTTTCCGTAGGTTTGTCTAATATTTACCTGGTCAATTCAATAATATTTGTTTATCAACAGCATATAAATAACATTCACCATTTGAATTTAGACTCAAAGAAATCCAGTGGGAAAAACTTTACCACATATATGATCTCCTTAAACAAGTTTTACTGACCATTACATCTGGCCTTTTCTCACAGTCAATTACATGTATATCAGAAAGATGGAATTCAGGTTCTAGCTGCTCAAGGCTTCAGGTACAGTGGTTCAACACTGATTTTCTGGGAATCAGAGGCCTCAGATAGCAGTATTCTCTTTTCCATGGCTTCTATTTCTAATGTGCAGGATTATTTTTTTGTGAGTTCCTTGGAGGTTCTTTTCTGCTTGCTGTAAACACTATTGAGACCTCATGTGTGATTATTTAGTGCCCAGTTGTGGTAATACCCTTGTATTTAACCCTTCATACCTGGGCAGCTCACTATGTTTTGCTTCTTCAACTGTGATACCTCCCACCACTGTGGTTTTCAAAGTGGGAGGTCAGCTTGTCTACCTGAAGATGATGTTTATCATCATTCCTTCTTCTTCAGGTTGGGAAAACAACCATTTTCCCCAATAACGGGATAGGTACTTCATTTGCCATGTGCTTTTCTGTCAGGAAAGATTAGCACCTGGGGAAGATACACAAAAGCAGGTCCTCTGGGGAAAGCCAAACAGATGTGAACTCAGTTATCATTTTAACTGACAGTTGGCTAAAGCAGACCTGCATAACCCCAACTGTACTGATAACAATACTACTTTTTATCATTATAAAAATTAAATTATTAAAAATTCACAGTGTGCCAGACAATATGCTGTATATGTTACATGCATGATTTCATTTAATTCTCAAACAATCCTATGAGTAGATTCCATTATTATCCACTCTACTTTGCAGATGAGGATCATAAGCACAGAAAGGTTAAGTGTCTTGGCCTTTATTATACAATTGGTGATGTTAGAGCCAGGATTCCAATACAGATGATGACTCTGCAATCCATGCTTAATCACTCCAGTATTCCCCTATGTAGTGTCATTGGTTCCAACAATGTCCTTGGCTCTCCTTTCCTACAGGATTATAGCTGGTGCACCTTCAAAGTTATATTTAAATTCTTTCCTGTATGTCCATTGTGGGTCAACTTTTCTTTGTTAACAGAGAATCTAGGTGATATATAATAGACCATGGTGATCAGAATAATAGAGTTAGTTTTTTGGGATAACAATATTTATCTTGAAAAATACTTACTGACCACATGCCACGTACTGTGCTAAGAATGCCACACAAACTTGTGTATATTCTTCCAACAATACTGAGATGTAAATATTATTACATTCAATTTAAAAATAAATAAATTTAGGCCTAGAGAGTTAAGTGGTTTATCCAGTCTTGCAAAGATGGTAAATAGGTGCAAGTGAAATTTATATATAGGTAAGTCAGCATCCTAAATCTATGTTATTTCTACTACACTAGAGAGGAGTGTCTGAAAAAGATGGTGCTAAAGAAGAATTTGAAATTATGGGATGCCTACTAGATGGAATCTGTGAAACAGCTGTAATAATGCATCCAAAGGTATCATGGGAAGAAGAACAGGTATCAACTGCTTTTCTGGGAAAGCTGTCAGTCATCACTTTGTTGCCTGCCATAGGACTGGGTAACAATGGTTAGTTGAAGACATTTTATCACACTGGTTTACTGTGTATTCCTGTTTCTCTTATTATTTGTTAAGTTATGCATCTTTTAACAATGTTTACAAACTACTGAGTGTTTCCCTCAATTCAACAATTATGTACAAAGCACAGTTGCAGGATTTCGCACAGGATAGAAAGCATGACACAAAAATAAATGTAAGAGATTTAAATCTGGGAGTATCCAGGTTAAAATTCTGCTTTCTCCACATAATGTGCAACCTGAGGCACGATACTTAATACCTTACAGTCTCAATTTTCTCATTTGTAAAGGAGCATAATATCTACCTCATAGGTCTGTGGTGAGGATTAGAGTATCTTAGCTTGGCACTTAGAATATAATGGGAATTAAATGCCTTCCTTCTCATTTTTTTTTCTTTTTACAGAAAACACAATACAAAGAGCAAATAAGACAGTTTACAAAATTATTGTAATGATTCATAGGAAGGTAAAAATATCAGTATGCTTCATTTCCTGATGGACTGAGATAGTAGACAAATAAATAAAAAATGGAAATAAAATAAGATAAAAACACAGTACTATAATCATGCAATGGGATACTACTTAGCAATAAAAAGGAACAAACTATTACCACAACTAATAACAGAGAAGAACCTCAAAAATATACCGAACAAAAGAAACCAGGCACAGTAGAGTACACACTGTGAGATTCCACTTACATGAAGTTCCAAAATAGGCAAAACTCTTGTGAATAGAAGTCACAATAGTGACTGTTTCTGAGGTGGAGGGCCCTGCTGGAAAGAGGCATGGGGACATTTTTCATGCTAGTGATAATGTTCTACACCTTAGTTAGGGTTGCCTGAATCAAAACTCTATAAGCTGGACACCTAAAATCCATACATTTTCTCCATGCAAATTATAATGCAATTTAGAAAAATGTGTCTATGCAGATTTAAAAGGGGAAAAAAGTAAACGTATTTGAGGGAATAAGGAAAGTTCAAAAGAAGTGCTCCTGTAGGAGCTGTAATGATCAAAAGCTAAGTGGAAGTGATGGGGAGGACATTTCAAGTAAGAAACAATGGTGAGGTCATGCAGGAAAAAAAGAATGGGGAGAGGAAGTGGGGGAAGATGCTGAGGTGATAGTGAGGCCAGATTGCAGGAGACTTTATATACCAGTTTGAGAGGTATTTGGCAAAATGAGACCACAGAAAATTTTCATTGTGGGAGATTGGTATACTGAAAACAATGCCTTAGAAAAATTATTCTGGCAGTTACCTGTCAATTAAATAGAAGGTAGAAGAAACAGAGACATTGGGGTACTTAGAGGAAACAGTAGAAGAAAGATTGTTATAGGAGAACCTATGTCATGCTATTTAGGAGAAAGGAAAGTGTTACTCATGGCCTAAAAGATTTTGTTGTTGTTGTTGGCAAAACTAGCAAGTGTTTCCTTTATAACTTTAACCTCCTTTTCTTTTTTTTCTTTCTTTCCTTTTTTTTTAATTTTTATTTTTTGATGGAGTCTTGCTCTGTTACCAGGCTGGAGTGCAGTGGTGCAATCTCTGCTCACTGCAACCTCCGCCTCCCAGGTTCAAGTGATTCTCCACCTCAGCTTCCCAAGTAACTGGGACTACAGGCACGCACCAGCATGCCCAGCTAATTTTTGTATTTTTAGTAGAGATGGGGTTTCACCATGTTGGCCAGGATGGTCCTGATCTCTTGGCCTCGTGATCTGCCCACCTTGGCCTCCCAAAGTGCTGGGATTACAGGCATGAGCCACCGCACCCGGCCTTAACCTCCTTTTCAACTTGCAAGATAATAAGTATGTCAATGGCTCTAGCTGGTTTTATTCGACCACATTGACAGCTATCATTTTTGAAGTCTAAAAAAGAAAACATACCCTCCAACATGTGGTGATGCAGAGTTACTACTAGATGTCTAGCTAGATGACTGCTTAGAGATCTCAGAAGGTAGTATTTTTTGCTGATAAAGTTGCTATATACCAGGGCTTGGACAATACCTACTCATAAGCTCCTAAACTTTATAATATATATATGAGATTATGAGACATGATCAGACATGAGTATCCTGACTCATGTTAACTAATCTCACAAAAGATTGATGTACAAACAAGAAAACCACTGATAAAAGTATAACTAAGGCCTCAACCCCAAACAGGGTACATATTGATTGGGTGGGAACAAAAAATAGGGAAGTTTTAGAATTCTTCCAAGTAATAAAAACACACAATGGAAACTGAAGTTACTATTCTCCTTGCAGCTAATGTATAAGCACTTTATGTTCTCCACTTAGGCTCACTGCAGACTTTGAATAAGAAGCTAGTGGTACAGGAGCACGAATTGTGCAAAATCCATTCAGAGTATCAGAATTTTGTGGCAGCTACATCCTGTGTGCAAAGGCAGCAGATTTAGTGTTCTTGTCAAATGCCCTGCATCAGTGATGTGTGCAGTGAGAGCTAAGAGTCTATTCCATGAGACAATGGCAACAGTGCTGTCTTCATTTGATCAGTTTTGCAAATTTGCTTGCCATTCCTGCCCACAGCACCACCAACTATCCATAAGGCTGTCTATCAGTGTGCAATGATCTCTCTTCATGAACGTATATGGGAGAATGGGGGAAAGTGGACTGTTAGTAAAGGTGTAAAGAGTTTCTCTGAAGTAGATAGATTTTATACCTTCAGAAAAATCAGGAATGCATATGGTTTTAAAGTTTGAATAACTTTTGGAGACAATTTCTTATAACTCTTACTACACTTGTTAGAATCTGAGTTTCACCAGGACAAGGAACTGTACGTTAATGATTCATCTTTATCTTTCCCCTTGCCTGATGCCATGGCAGGCACGGGGGAATACTCAATAAATGCATTTTGATAAATAAACCATCTAGTTTCTGCAAGACAAGGACCTGGCTAAATGATTTTCTGCCAGGCCTTATCCCTCTAACAGGTGTGGCTGGCTTCATTAACTGTTCAAGCTAATGTCTACTTTCCAGCATCTCTTATATATTATCTCACAACTCTCTCTAGACAAAATTGATAGGAGTTGATACAGGCATTAAGAAAGTTGCCATTTCTGAAATCCAATAGTGTCCATAGAGATGAGAATACTGAGATATATGATGTTAAACATTTTGAATTGTTTATCCTTAGACCAGTAATGGGAAAGTTTATTATAATAACTATAACAAATTTGCTAATAAATTTAAACATCTAAACCAACATATCTGGAGGTCAAAGGAAACAGTATTTTCAAGTGATTTTACAATTAATTTTTAAAGTGCAGACTCTCCTTAGATGGTCTATCAAGTTTTGGTCTATCAAGTTTATAATTTTCTCTTCTCTAGGAACTGACATCATTTTTCAGATAACATGCATACATGCTTGTGAAATTTAACCACTGACCCCTGGCTGTTTTTAACTGGAGAAGTGATAGACACCTACCAAAAGCTGGGCCAATCATATTTTAGGGTCTTGGAAGTTTATGCTGTGAAGAAAAGCTGGGAGTTGAGTTGTGCAACTGGTACTTTTAGAGGGTAAGCTCTTAAAGCCTTCTAGTGCAGTGGTCCCAACCTTTTTGGCACCAGGGACTGGTTTTGTGGAAGACAAATGTTCCATGGACTGGGGGAGGGGATGTGGGAGGGATGGTTTCAGAGTGATTAAAGCACATTACATTTATTGTACACTTTATTTCTATTATTGCATTGTAATATATAATGAACAATTATACAATGTTCCATAATGTAGAATCAGTGGGAACCCTGAGCTTGTTTTCCTGAAACTAAATGGTCCCATCTGGGAGTGATGGGAGACAGTGACAGATCATCAGGCATTCGATTTTCATAAGAAACATGCAACCTAGATCCCTTGCATGCACAGTTCACAACAGGATTCGTGCTTTTATGAGAATCTAATGCTACTGCTGATCTGATAGGAGGTAGAGCTCAGGCAATAATGCGAGCATTAGGTAGCAGCTGTAAATGCAGGTGAAGCTTTGCTCACTTGCCTGCTACTTACCTCCTGCTGTGCAGCCTGGTTCCTAACAGGCCATGAGCCACTGTGGTCCTGGGGGTTGGGGACACCTGTTCTAGTGGATTCCCTGGGGGTGTCTAATTCTCCATCTTCCCTGAGTCCTTGTTGCTCAGCATTTTTCGAGATTACATGATATCCCTCACAATAAGCTTCTTTTTCCCCCTTAAACTTCATTGAATAATTTCATTGCTTATACTTCTCTCAAACTGAGCAACTCATATATTTAAAAACTGTTTACTTTCTTGTTTTTTATCTCATCTCACTGACACCTCTCTTATGTTTCCTACTCATCTATGTTACTTCTTAATGCAGACTTTTTTGGGCTAAATCTTTGAACCCCTTCTCTTTTATATCTGAACTTTCTTCCTTGGTAGTGTCATACAGTCTCATGATTTTTAATAACATCTATGTGAGGATGATTCCACAGTTTATATTTGTACTCCAAACCTCTCCCTTAACCTCCAGACTCATATATCCCAATGCCAGTTCATTCTCTCCATTGCTAAGTTCAGAATACATGTCGATTGTAACATTTCCAAAACCAGACTTTCAGTGTATTTCCCATAGGTCTTCCCGTATGGTTAATAATAATTCCATCTACTTGGAATGATCCACACTGCTCCTCTTTCTCTGAAACCCTATATCAAAAGTGTCAACAATTTCTTTGTGGTTACCTTGAAGATACACCCTGACTCTGACCACTTCTTACCACTGCACTATTTTTACTCTTAGTGCATTCTAGCATCATCTCTTGCCTGGTTTTTCCAATAGTCTTTTTTAATTTTTATTTTCATTCTTGTTTCTGTTCAGGCTACCCAGCAAAGCAGCTAAGATAGGTTTACTATTATGTGCAAAACGGACATGAGCTTTGGCAATCTATTATTCATAACAATGGTTAATATCTACAGAATGCTTACAAGATGGCAAGCATTATTCTAAATATTTAAATCTAAAAAATAATTCATTTTA